CGGCTCTGTGTAGTTAATGCTGCTCAATGTGAAAGCACGCAGGTGATGGAGATTTACCGCTGATTACAGAACCGGCTTTACTGATAAGATGCGCGTTAAATATCGCATGCGAATTCATTAGTTAACAAACTGCCAATGAAAAATTCTTCTGAACATTCATTAATCTTAGGTAATTACAATATTTAATAACACGTTGTTAAAATCGAAAATTGCAACGGTGTTATTTAATGAGCTAACATGAACTAAGACTTGTATTTTTTAAACAAAGATTAATAACTTCTGTAGCAAATGTAGCTATTGCTCATTGTGAATGTTAGTGCATTAACTAAGGTTAACTAATGAGGTCTTATTGTAAAGTGATACCTATTGGTCTTTATAGTTCTTTTGCACTTTAATCTGTGTAAAACTTTTAACTTTATACATTTTCTGTATTGCTTTATTGCATTTAAATGTTCAGTTATTTTTGTTATAAGAAAAAAGTTATTAAACCTGTTATACTGTATTATGACAGCACTTTTTTTTTAAACTAAATTCAAATACCGTGATAATACCGCATACCGTGATAAAAGCATTAGCAATTAATCGCAACATGAAAATTTGATACCGGCATATCCCTACTTACACTAAGCCACTCATTAAAGAACCATACTAGATTATTGTAGTTGCACTACACAAACACTAGCTTAAAAAAAAAAAACTTTTTCCTTTTATGATGGTTGCTACTTCTGAAATTTTTGAACAAACTGTTCAGAAACATTCTTCAAAAGTAAAGAAAATAATCTTAATGAATTTCATTCAAATATTTAGAAAACACACCCATTTTACCCCATTTTTTATATATTTTTTAACATTTATGTAAACCAGCACGGCAGATAATACAATGATTTTTGTTTTATAACGTGAAACAAACAAACATGTTTTTCTGCTACGTTTGTACACATGCTATGTCTAAAAATCCTGAACATTTTCTTTCAAAGTGCCCTGAAACATTCCTCAAACGTAAAGAAACACAACTTACTGGATTTCGTACATTTTAGAAATACTATGAAAAACATTTCCATTTCAAGTCATTCTGCGATATTTCTTAGAATTTACATAAACCACCATGAACGTAAAATGTAAAAAGTAACATATTTTTCCAATGAAAATATCAGAAAAAAGTAGCAAGCAATACACCAACACTAGTTTACTCTTTCCTGTTGTGATGTTCGTACACATTGCCCTTAAAAACCACAAACATATTCCTCAAAAACAATGTGTCAAACTTTACACAATTATCGCACCCTTCACAGAGAAAAGGTCGGCGTAGTTGAAAAGAAATACCTCCTAGAAGTATGATGAACCATAAACCGTAGTTTAACTTTCAGCCTCAGCATCTTCGAAGCAAACGTCTGAGTGTGTTTTCACAAACATGTGCACGCCCTTCACAGCCGTGCGCTACACAGCCCTGCTTACACTTCCTGTGTTTGGGTGTCGTTCTGAGAACATCTGACCACACAAACACATACACACTGACACCACAGGGATCGAGATAGGCGCGAGCCTTTCCATAATGCAACACACCCAGACACGTACACACATACATACTAAATATATGTATATAAATATACTATATACATAGTATATAAGTACTAAATATAGCCGATGTAACCACGATAAATATCCACGTCACTGTCTATAGTGTGGTGAACCAGGGCTTTTATAGTTAACTAGAACCAAAACCATAGAAATATAAAAATATATATTTTTATCAAATAAACCATTAACAGAGACAAAATAAAATATAAAAAACTCATAAAAAAACAAATATTTAAAAAAAATCATCCAGTTGCCCAGGAAACATTTCTTCTTTTCATTTATTTTAACTTGATATAATGAAAAACTAAATACTAATAAGTAAAAGCTTACATATTGAAAACTGTGTAGACATTAAAAAAAAAAAAAAAAAAACTAATTGAATTTAAAATGCAAAATAAAAACGATTTAAAAATACTAATAAAAATTCTCAAAGATACTAAAATAACACTGCTGTGAACAAATAAGCACAATAGTTAAGTATTATTACCGGATAACTTTTTACTTCCAAATTGTTACATAACGCATATTGCTTGCACAGAATTCCCCCGCTTATTGGTTATTAAAAATGTGTTACCTTGCAAAAACTCTGTTCTTGTTGCCTCTTTCCTTTCCGTACTGTACAGACTGCACCTCTGTCCTACCACTGCAAAAAATCCAGAACATAGTGTCACTGTCGGCTCTCAAAACTACATTTGTGCAAGAATCACGAGAGATAACTGTGCAACAGTTGACAAAATGACTTACAGTCGTGAGCAAAACTTGAGAAACACAACCAATAAATTGCTAATAGTGGCAGGTGATATAGCTTAAATTTATAATTTTCAGCTTTTCAATTCAATTCAGTATGATATTTTGATATGTATGCATTTGCAGTTTCAAAACATTTTATACAAGCAAAATTACTTAAAATACTTTACTAACTTTACTTAACATACTTTACTTACTAAAAATACTAACTTTACTTAACATATTGTACTAACTAACTTTACTTAACATACTTTACGTACTTGACTTGCACTGAAAATCCTTTACCTAATTTGATGTTTCTGGTCAAAAATTTATAAAAATTGCTCTAGTTATTCTATATTGTCACCAAATCTAAGCTTGACCCAAGCTTATGCATGTTTTTGAGTGAAGAAAAAACATAATTTGTGTATAACTTCGACGATGTTCACTCAAAAACTGAAGTCCATAAGCTCAGATCAGTGAAGCCTATGATCAATCAGTTCCAAAAAAGAAATACAAAACTGTGTGAAAGAAAACAAGCTAAAAACACTGAATCCAATATTTGGTATTTGGAATAACAAGAAATTTTTATAAGCAATTTTTTGTAGGCTGGTCATTTTTGAGTGGGAACACCACAAGTGTAACAAGACTGGGGTGCCATGGCCTGCTCATATATCCACTACATACTAGTGCTGTGTTCGATACATAGATACGACGATGTATCGTCACAGAGATTTGACGATACGAGTATCGATACAGCTGGCCCTGTATCGATATTGTGGCACGTGTGCAGCAGTGGACCGTGCTTAATTTGAATACAAGAACACTGTTTAAAACGGAGTAGAAAAGTGCAAGGTTTCTAATAAATAAGCGCTTGTTGTTTGTCATTTCTCCGATCACAAATGCAGACATGGTTTTATGTTTACGCGGCGCGATGCAACGCAACGCATAAAAAGACAGTATAACTCATTATAATCAGTAATTATCCAATCACAACGCACTGGATAGCTGGCCAATCAGCGTACACCTCGCATTTCAGATCGATGAGCTTTGTAAAAATCGACGCATTTCAGAAAGGCAGGGCATAGAGGAGAAACAATAATATACAGTATGTGAAAAATAATGTGTTTTTTGAACCTTAAACCGCATAAACACATTTCATTACAACAAATACACAAAATAATGTTTTTTTTAGCAACATCATATGACCCCTTTAATTGCTGAAGAAGAACTACACTGATTTATTATCACAAAAACAACAACAACAAAACAAACACTAAAAACAAACAAAATCAAAGCATCAAAACACTAAAAACAAAACAAAACAAAAAACAAAACATTAAAAAGAAAAGAAAACAAAAAAACTAAGAAAACAAAAAAACAAATAAAACACTTAAAAAAAAATAAAAAATAACACAAAAAACCCAAATAAAGCAAAACATGAAAGAAAACAAGGGTGCATCCCTAGTTTTAAGCGAAAGCAGACATCATCAAGCCTCTAGTGTTTGTTTGCAGTATATATGAAACACGAGGGGCAGACAACGGGGTAAGATGGGCCAGTCACTCACCAGAGCATAGTGCAATTCCACGCCATACAGCTCCAGCGTCTGTGCAGCATTCAAGTAGTTAAACTCGGACTGAGCTGGTATGAGTCCACTGCATAAGAGAGAGAGACTCAATCTCACAGATCCACAAACAATGAACCGCCTTGTTCCACAAATCTGTCCGTGTGTGTGTGGGGTGTGTGTGTGTGTGTGTGTGTGTGTGCTCAGCTGTGACCCTTTGTTCCTCAGTCTCCGCTGACACTCAGTTAAATATAAGAATCTTTAACACACTGGAGGATTTCATGGACATGTCTGGCGTCTCTTACTTGTGCTCTTGGTGAAGTTTGGCAACCTCTTTCTCAAAGTCCTGCGGTGGGTTGGGAATGAAGCTGTACTCGGAGAGGTACCCAGGCAAATGTTCGGAGTGACTGTAGTCCCCCAGCTCAGCTGAAACACAAAACAGGCCAAGAAACCATGTGTGCATGTACGTCAGCGTGAGACACGGGGCAATGTGTCCTTCACCCTTTCAAAGAGTCAGACTTCCAGTTTCCTCATGATCTAAGTGAGCACTCATTCGGTCCACTGGAAACTCAACAGAAATTAAACTGAAAACCGTTAACTTTCTTAAAATAGTTTGAAAGTTATTCCCAAGCTTTTTTCCTCCCGCAAAATTAACATTTTGATGATACTGACAAGTTGATAATTTACATAAAAAATATTTCATGTTGTTGCATAAACCTAATAAAATTAACAATAAATACTACTAATAATTAATATATTAATCTAACATTTATTATGTATTACAATTTTGTAAAAAATTCACAAAAATTTAAAAATACTAAAAATAAAGTTGCATGTTCATTTATCTTAACATCATAATTTGAAGCATTAAACTAGTTTTTTCTTAAAAAAAAAAAAAAAAAAAATCTTAAATGTCCCTCCGACTTTGTTCTTTTTCATTTGAGAGAATTTGGACAAAATTGTTTAATGCTTCAAACCATAATATTGAGATCAATTGACATGCAACTTTATTTAGTGTTTTATCTCTATTTTCTTCAAAAAAAAAAATTTAATCACAAGTACATTTATTGTTACAAAATTGTTTAACGTTTCAAATTATGATGTTGAGATAAATCGACTTGACTCTTTATTTTTAATGTTTCATCTCAATATTATAATTTAAAGCATTAATTTGGTACAATTTTCTAAAAAAAAACAAATAAAATTTATTACATTTATAAGAATTAAACCATTTTGTACATTTTTCTCAAGAAATCCACAAAAAATAAAATGTTGCAAGAACATTTATCTGAACATTATACTGTAAATTGAAGCATCAAACAATTATACAATTTTCTCCACAAAATGCAAACACTAAAAATAAAGTTGCAAGTATATTTATCTTAACATTATAATTTGTAGCATTAAATCATTTTGTACAATTTTCTCAAAAGAAAAAAAGTTGTACAGTAAGTACATTTATCTCAACACTATAATTTGAAGAATTAAAGAATAAGACAGATATTCTTTTAGAAATTAAATTTAACAGTGTTATTAAATTATTTGTATCATTATTTTAGTAGTTTTTAAGTCAGCACTAAATAGGTCATCAAAATGAAAACTAGGCAGAAATGAGTGTGCACAACAAAACCACCAATAACCGCCAATTAAAAAAAATAAAATTAAAGCCAAGAATGAATACAAAATTATACAATAGCAAAAACCTAACAAAAACAGGAACCTTATGCCATAAGTTATGCCATTCCATAATAATCAAATGTGAAGCTACTAGTAAAACACACCAGCTGTGGTGAGTGTAACATGCCCGGTTACCACAACAGATTGTTAATTATGTAATAAATCATAAATTTTCAGCCTTATTACTGAAAATGGGTCAGACAGGGACAGGAAAGAGACAAAAGGCAGATCATGGACTATTTGGCAAAGCTTTTGTTCATCCTGTGCGGATGGTTATATCACCAGCCAAACAAACGCACAGGTCAGAGAGTTTGCAATCAGTCCTCAAAATCTGCTTAATTCAAACTGACGTGTAAACCATCACGGATTGCAAGTACATACTTAGGATAATGCATTACAGCTTTAACATTTAAAATAAAAAAAGCCTGATTAACATAAAACCTCATTACAGATTCCTCATGTTTATTTGCTATTACAATGCTTTATAGACATTGGCATTGAAAAACCCATAGGACCACTAATTGTTAGTGCAAAAATAAGCTGTAATACTTACCCTGAACAGCATAAGAAGCCAGAAGAACTGCAGTATTTTGTGGGCAAGGAAGTCTAGCAGAGAAGCAGAAAGTAAAGTGTTATATGAGATTTGCTTTTGGAGGAAAAATACATAGTTTTAATAAATAAATAGTATAAGCTCACCTGCCACTCAGAATATCCTGCTTCAGTTGCAAAAAGTACAAATACCTGCAACAAATAAATATCACAAACAAAATAATTTGTAGTTCCGTAATAATCATCCAGACAGAGAAAATTTGTTATTATTTACTATTTACACAGATATAAGTTAAGTTACGTAATAAAATGATATAATATACTTAGAATTTTACTTGTCATATGTGCAAAGCTTGGTAGTAACTGATTACATGTAATCTGAATTACATAATCAGATTCCAAAAATGTAGTGCTTGTAATTATATTATGTTTTTAAATACTCATTATTAGATTACAGTTACTTTTTAATGGATTACATGATTTTAAAGTATTCACACAATGGCTGTAAATTATTAAAAATATAATGAAAAACAAAATATTTAAAACCTGGAAGACTTTGACAATGTCATTGCTCTTTCCAAATTTATAAATAATTGTTTATGTGACACAGGGATTCCCAAACTTTTTTGCTAGTCAAACCCCTCTGACCTTAAATATTTACTCATATTTAAAGTGAATTAGTATTTCAGTAATTTAACAATACATTTGCATGTACTCTCATGTCGGTTAATGGTCATTCATTTTATTTCTTTTAGCTTATTTGTTATTTAAAGGTATAAACCCATTTAAAGGTATAAACAAGTTAGGTCAAAAGTACTAGAAGTAAACCAAAAGTAGTCACAATACATTACCTAAAATGAGTAATCTAGATTACATTAGTGATTATAATTTTTATCATGTAATTTGTAATCAGTAACAGACTACAATTTGTAAGTAATCGACCCAGCACAGCTTATGTGGAGAAATGTTAAAAAAAAAAAAAAAAACTAAACTATACCTTGTGTACTCTTCTTGTAGTTTACTAGGGTCACTCACGAAAAACTTCACTCTAAACCTCAGATTATGTGGAGACGGCCCTAAAAATGAAAAATAATTACAATCAGAACATTTTATTCTGACACTTCAAAACAAACACCTTCAAATTTTAAAAATTGTAAAACATGACCCACTTTTGAGCTGTTTTCTAATAGGTTTGTTTGGGTCCAGCCACCTCTGAAACACACGGTCATAACCAAAATTTAGGACACTTTCTACTCAATATTTTCAGGATGAACACACAAACTGCTAAAAGTATCAGCTCAGCAATGTGAAAGTCACCAAATCTGCTCGACAAATCAAAACCGAACAACATCAAATGCAATGAACTAAACATTCACCTCGTTTTACTACGAGCAGAAACAGAAATCAGCATTTCATTATGTGACCTTAGAATGAACTTTCCTGTTTGTACTGACACTGTGTGTGTAGAAACCAAAATAACTGCCAAACTGCTCACTATAAATAATAAACAAGGTTCATGGGATAATATTTTTGCATCTTTCTTATTGCTGTTATGCAAAAAATACAAATTTTCAGATTGACATGTTGTGCTGCTTGAATGAACAAGGGTTTATGGGTGATCTGTTGCCGATGGCAACAACTGAGTGACAGGTGAGCATCTACCTGGCTGTCAGAAGAGTCGTCTGCAAGTTGAAGGCCAAAATAGTCTCGCTCTGTCAGCTCCAAGTGTTTATACACTACGTCCAACAAGATCCGCCCCTGATCTTGAAGGTGAGTAGTCACTCTAGTTCACACAGTTCCAATAAATTGCGATGGGTTAAATAAACTCAATAAGCAGACTACAGCGACTACAGTCATGCGCAGACCAGTATCAAGAGTCGTCTGCAAGTTGAAGGCCAAAATAGTCTCGCTCTGTCAGCTCCAAGTGTTTATACACTACGTCCAACAAGATCCGCCCCTGATCTTGCTTCTACAAGAGACAGAACGTGTTTTGATATCAGTTCTGGACTGTTAAAAATAAAAGAAAGCACACAAAATAAAAACACAAGAAAACATATTAAAACATTAAAAAAAAACACAAAAGACAAAACACAAAGCTAAAGCTAAGGAAAAGCACAAAACACAATACAAAAACTAAACCTAAAATAAAAACCCAAAGCAAAAACCAAAACAAACCAGAACACATCAAACCAAAATAAACCAATACAAAACCCAAACCAGGAAAAAAGAACAAAACAATAAAACAAACCAGAAAAAAAAAACTAAACCAGAACAAACCATAACAAAAACTAAATCTGAACAAACAAAAACCAAACTAGAAAAAAGACAAAACAAAAAACAAAACAAACCAACCCAAACCAAAAAAAACAAAAACCAAATCAGAACAAACCAAATCCAAACACCAAACCAGAAAAGAACAAACAAACCAGAACTACCAAAACAAAAACCAAATCGGAACAAATGAAAACAAGCCGTGTATCATTCGTTTTTTGATTTAATATTGAAAGTATAAAAATGAGAAAACGGCTCCTTTTTGGGGTTTTTTTCTCCAAAAAACGAAAAATGAGAATTCAGCTTAAATTTTCGTTTTTCGGTGCACAGGAAATAAGCAGCAGTCATATTTAAAGCAGTTTAAATTAATATTGAGTACTGATTGATGTTCACTTGGATTTTTTCCCCCATCGAAGGGAAATAACTTAATACTCGTCATTTATGGTAAAATGTATATTTTTAATTGTGTAACGTTACGTTCAAAATAACTACAAAATGTCATGCCTTTGAAAATAAATAGAACAACAGAATGCACTGCTTTGATCTTCGGCTGACCAATCAGCAGAAAGAGGCGTTTAATTCCCGCCCACATGTAGAAATCGAATATTCAAGCTGTTTATTCATTTT